CGCTGTGTGTCTCCCTAGTGTGTGTGCTAGCGTGTGATTCGGGTGGGACGTCGTGGCTGTGTGTGTGAGTGTGGTGTAGTGATGCGGAGTTGTGGATGGTGTGTGTGTGTGTGTGTCTGCGTGTGTGTGTCTGTGTGTGTGTGTGTGTGGGTTTGTGTGTGTGTGTTTGTGTTTTTGTGTGTGTGTGTGTGTGTGTGTGTGTGTGTGTGTGTGTGTGTGTGTGTGTGTGTGTGTGTGTGTGTGTGTGTGTGTGTGTGTGTGTGTGTGTGTATTTGTGTATTTGTGTATGTGTACATGTGTGTATTTGTGTGTGTGTGCATGTATGTGTGCATGTGTGTGTGTATATGTGTATGTGCACGTGTATATATATATATATGTATATATATGTGTGTACATGTGTGTATGTGTACATGTGTGTGTATGTGTACATGTGTGTATGTGTACATGTGTGTGTATGTGTGTATTTGTGTGTGTGTACATGTGTTTGTGTGTATATGTGTATGTGTGTGTATGTGTATGTGTATATGTGTATGTGTACGTGTATATATATATGTATGTATGTATATATATGTGTGTACATGTGTGTATGTGTACATGCGTGTGTGTATGTGTACATGTGTGTGTATGTGTATATGTGTGTATGTGTGTATTTGTGTGTGTGTACATGTGTACGTGTATATATATATATATATATATATATATGTATATATATGTGTATGTATGGATGTATGTATATGTGTGTGTCTATGTGTGTAAGTGTATATATGTGTATGTGTATATGTGTATGTGTACGTGTATATATATGTATGTATGTGTGTATGTGTGTATTTGTGTGTGTGCGTGCTTTTTAGGACTGCTGCAAGGCACTCAAGGGTTGCTGCCTCAGCACCTCCAGCAATGGGGGGCCCCTGTAAATTACTTGCTCCCTTCGGGAACTGCCAGCTTTTACCGTCGCTTCTACGACTCCCTGGCAGCTTGCGGCATTAGGGGCTGCAAAGTAGATGCGCTGTCTCTACTCCCCATGGCTGCGGCAGGAGCCGCTGCTGCTGCAGTTGCCAATTCGACGGAAACGTGCTGTAGCGCTTCGGGGGAGCAAGGGCCAATCACACTTTCTGAAGAGGCTGCAGGACTGGCAGCGAGCACTACCCTCAAGCGCGCAACAAGTGCAAAGGCGTTGTGTCCAGACACTCGGGGTGGGGGTGTTCAAGCCTTCCACAAGTACATCCATGCAATTGCAGATGCAGCTGCAGCCGCGTTTGAGAGGCGCTGCAGTGCGGCCTTGCTACTACCGATGCAGTTACACCGCCTGTATTTGGGGGCCCCCCCGAAACCTCCTCGAGCGTGCTGCTGCAGCACCTGCTGCTGCTGCGAAAAGGCGTCAGTAGCGTTGGCTGCAGGAGGCCAGGCAGGAGCAGCAAACATCCCACGAGCCGCAGCAGCAGCAAGAGCAGGAAATAAAAACGTGTTTGCCGTGTCTGTGGATGCCTGGGGTTCCCAGGCTGCGCTGCTGACGTGTATGGGGTGTTGGGGGCCTTGCATGTGGCAGAACAAGCACATCCTCTGCACGCGAACTTCTGATGACCACAAGGCTCTCCATGTACGAACGTCTCCTGCAGCGAATGCTGTGTTGACGCAGAGAGACCAGGGAGGGGGGCATGAATGCGCGTGGGGTGTACTGACTGTTGGTGGTGGCCCTGCAAAAGTGCTGCTCTCTGCCGCTCTACCAACCTTCGCATGCGGCTTTCCCTGCAACTACGTATATAAATATAAATGCATTTACATATATATATATATATCTATTTACTTATATTTGTATCTGCAGAGCGAGGAGACTGCCCATTCGATTTGTTCACACATTTACGGGAATGCGGCTACGGCCCTTTGGGTGGGCCCCTTCATGCGGTGTGGTGAGGCTTCGAGAAAGCACACGAAATAATATATTTCTGCTCGTCTCGATCTCGGGAAGGGCTCAGTGCTGTTCTTAGGGACGTTGCAGTGGAGGGGCCAGCTGCTTCCTGACTTGCGAAAAACCACACCGAAGGAGCTTAGCTGTAACAACCGCTTTTCGTTCCTCTTGTGCGGAGTAATGTGCCTGTGGCGCAGACTGGGATATGCTGTCGCTCACGCGATGGCACTCAAGGCTACAGGCGGCGGCGAGAGTCTTGAGTGGGGGCCCCGTATACGTCTCGGACAGCCCGCACGATCTCAGGACGCATGCGCAAACGGTAGCGCTCGAACCATCAGTAGAGGCCTCCTGTAACCCCTCCCTCTCTCCCGTTTTCTCTTCCGCCGCTACCAATTACCCCTTTTCCCGTGAACCTCCGAAACGTTAGACTGTGGACGCAGCCTTTACGCGTTCGGGCTTCTTGAAGGCTGGAGAAGGGTCACACTGATGTGCGTGTCTGCAGAGCCAGCTCATTGATCGCCTCGGGGGGGGGCCCCTCCTTAACGCCTCGAGAAGCCCCTGCGGGAGGCCCCCCTGGCGCTTGCTGCGCTGCATCTCTGTCGGCTTACCAATGGAGGACTGTCTTTTCTTCGATCCTCGAAAAACACCAACTGGGTAGAAGATCTCAAACCCTCCACGCGAAAAAGGGGGCCTCTGCCTTTAGGCGAGGGGCTGTGGCCAATTACGCGCCAAATTGTTTTAATTCGTAGATGAACTACACACGGTCTGGTGTTTGTGTGTATGGATATATTTATACACATGTATATACGTAAATATACATGTATATACATATATAAGATGTATAGATATATATATATATGTATATACATATGTATATGTATATATATGTCTGTATGTGTGTGTGTTTATGTGTCTACATAGATACATACATACGTATGTCTGTATGTCTGTATATACGTCTATATATGTTTCTCTCTCTCTCTCTGTATATATATATGTGCTTTTCTGTGTGTACGTGCGCATGTGTATATGTATATACTCTATTTATATTTGTATGCAGGTTCAAGCTGTGGAACGTCTGTATGGGAGGCTTTGTGATCGGCGTGTTTGGGCTTTATGAGGCCCCCGGAGGCATCGCATACACCACGCAGCTGCACCAGCAGCAGCTGTTGCTGTTGCAGCAGACGAGGGGGCCCTGGGTGCGGCAAGACTCGCGCGGGACGGGGGCCCTTCCCACAGATCTTCTTTGTTGCGACTTGGAGGACTGGAATGCCGCTCCACTGCATCCCCTGTAAGTATCAAGGGCTGAGTGCAGTGCGCTGTGCGCCTTTCTTCCCGCCCTCGCGAAGGCAAAGAAGAGACGCATGAGAAATCTTTGCTGCCGATCCTGCCTATTCGAATCATCCAGAATCTCGGCTTGTGACTTGTGCGCAGCCATCCTTGGGAAGTAACGACGCACTTTGCAACGTGCCACATGTTTGCCGTAGCCCCCATCTACCGCCTTGGGGGCCCCCCTGGGGGGGCCCCCCGGAGCGCCAGGGTGGCCCTTCTGGGTTTGCGGGGCCCTTATGCGGGCCTTGCGGCCTTCTTGTTTCCCCCAGCGGCTGTAGAATTAACGTCTGCCACAGAGGAGCAGGAGGCGTTGCCTTCTGAAACGCAGCAGTCGCCTCCGCTGCTGGCATTTCGCGATGCTGTGCCTGCGGCAGCCTGCTGCTCCCCTCCCGCTGGATTTATGCAGCCTGCAGGGGCCTCAGAGCCGTTAGAGAGCAGCGATTGGGCAGCTTTAATCAAGCAGAAGGGAAGAGTGCGTTGATTTCTCGGGGACAGGTGCTGTCTGCTGTCTCGCCTACGCCAGCGGCGGAGGCAGCGGGGGGGGGGGCGGAAGGGGGAGAGAGGGGGAGCTGGTGTGAGTGGCTCAAGGCTCTTTGCTGTGGGGTGTTTATTGTACTTGTTTCGCTCAGGAGGGTGTATTTGCGCAAGTTATCGCAGCAGGGGACCTCGTCTTTTGGCACGAGGGGCCCCAAGACCCCTGCTGCCTTTTTGTTCGCTCGGAGGAGTGCCACTCTGAGAAAAAGCTCTCAAAAAGAGGCTTCGAGGCCGCTGAACCTCCGGAGATACCAATCGTCTCTCTGTGGGGTCTCGATGCCCTCGCGAGCGTAGAGGCGAGCTTGGAGGAGCTTTGTCAGAACTCCCGGCTTCGCTCTACTAGTCTCACTGCTAGAAAAGCCGTCCTCTCGCCTTTAGGGGGGCGCTCTAGGGGCAGCGAACGTCGCTCTCCCTCTACGTACCACCCTTCAACTAGCGCAGGGGAGACGGCAGCAGCGACAGCGGCAAAGGCGGCAGCGGCGAGGCAGGCCTCAAGCACCCTCAATAGCAGCGTTCCGTTTGCTCAGTTGAGCTGCCCCTGCTGCGAGAGATCTTTGGGGGCCTCTAAATTTGTTCCTACAAAGAGCCACACGCGCCTGTCGGTAATGAAGGCTTGCCCCTATGGAGGCCGCCTGTTCACGGTGGAAGTGCACCCAGGCGACATGCTGCTCTTCCTCGCGTAGTAGGGTATACCTGCCGCTGTTGCACTTTGGGGGGGGCTTTCAAGGAACTCGGGCTGGAGTAGCCTCCTTTTCGCCTGTCGGCGAAGGGAAGATAGCTCCCTTTTCACCCCCCCTCCTGCCCCCCCCTATTGTAGTACAATGCAACGCGTGGTGGTGAAGTGGACGGAGTAGGCGTGTTGATCGGCGCCAGCAAGGGTGTTGTTGCTTTGGGGATGGATGTCAGTCTTAGCCAGTAGAAAGGGGGAGGCTTTGGGGGGAATGTGGTCGGCTCACTTCCCCCTTGTTTACAGACTCACGAAAAAGGCAGCGCGCGTCAAGGGTCACTTCCCCCTTGCACGCTAAAACCACTGCCTTTATGCGGAGTGTAGCCCCCCTTCCTCCCTCCTAAGCTGTAGTTTAGAAATGTATTGCTATTTTCTTCTGTAAAAATTTCATATTTCATGGGTGAGCCGAACTTGAACCCCCCCAAAAACGCAAGCGGGCAAGGGACCCGCGCCCAACGCCTCGAGCCTACGACATGAGAGTTCGTGTTCATGAAGCGTAACGGTGAAACTCTGCGGCTTACACCCACAGCTTTGAGCCCCCCCAAAAGGGCATAAATATCTATTTAATCAAAGGGCATTTCAGCATATAAAATTGGAGTTTAAGGGTCGGACCATCATGCTGGTGCGCCAGTGGCCTTCGGACTCACGGGCAAGCGGGCGGAGGGGGTCTCTTTCGAGATCTTCATTAGCGCATGGCGTTTCCGCATGCAAAAACAAGGCAGACACCAGCCTCGAGACAGCGTGCCGCCGATCAGCGGTTGCCACGGGAACAGCGGCGGAAACTGCAGCGGCAGATCCTGCAGGAGCAGGGAACGTTGGCGCGTGGAGCTGGCGTGAGAGGGTGACTGGACGCTGCAGAGAGGCCTTCTTGCATCGCCTCAAAAGGCTGCCGCTGCTGCTTGTCTTGCTGTTTGTCTTGTTGCTTGTCTTGTTATTTGCTGCGAATAAGCTGCAACTGCGCGCACGTCGCAGTCAGATGCCACTGCTGCTGCCTCAGCAGCAACGCGAACGGCAGCAGCAGGCGGCCTTTGCGCTCCTGAAGGAATTGATCTCTGAGGATTCTTACCCAGCAGAGGTGCAGGAGAAGGTTTTTGGGCCCCTTTCTGCCGAGTGCGAGTGAGGCCTCTCTCTTTCCTGCGTCCTGAACTATAAAGCCAAGGCCCTTAGGCTTTAGAGCCTCATCAGCTGAGAGCTGTTTGGTGTATGTACAGGGCCTTGGTTGAAAAAGAGATCGCACCAGCGTCTACCTCCGTCATCTTACCGGTCAAAGAGGAAGACATCAGTCACCTGCTGCAACTGCTGCAGCACCTGCTGCGAAATACTCCCGAGCCGCTGCTGCAGGAAGTGCTGCTGTCTCCGTACAGGCCGGACCAAAAGCAGCAGAGGCAAGAAACCCCTGAAACAGGGGCCCCCACGGGCCTCTTAGGAGAGTTCCTGCTGCCCTTGTTGCAGCAAATTCCTAAACTTCGAATGCTGCAAAAGACGCAACAGAGTGCGTATGCGGAAGTCTGAGCTTTCCGCTTTGGCGATGTGCAGCAGCCGAGCGGTCCAGACACCGCGGCTCATGCCCTCAAGCCATCGTCAAGCAGCGATCTCCTCTTCCTCAGCTCCGATTCCTCGTGAGGAGCAACCTAGCAGGCCTTAGCACGAATCTCATGGTCCTTTCCTCTTTAAGATGTTCGTGTTTGCTGCAGCCTATGCTGCCGCAGTGCACGCTGCCGTCCAGAAAGCGGAGTCCGATACAGTAGTGGTGTTGCCGCCGGAAGCAAGGGTGGCGCCTCATTGGCTAAAGTTCTTACTCCTACAATTGCAGCAGCAGCCGTTTGCAGTTGTCTTCCCTGCAGAAGTGGAGGAGCCCAGTGCAGATGGCCCCCAGTGCAATGCGGGTGCGAAGAGGGGCCTTCCAAGCTGTCACGCCTTGGAGTTCTAGGCGGGGGGGAGCAATGAGTAGTCTTTTCCTAGCTGTGCTGCAGCTTCAACTTTAGCTTCAGCAGCGCGTGTGTTTGCTGCTGCTGGTGTCTGCGCTTTCCTGCAGCTGCCTCCCTCAGCTGGAATCTTAGCCGGCGGAAGCTGGAAGGCAGGGGCAGCGCAGCAGCGAGCGGCAGTGTATTATCTTCCTTGGTGCTCCCAGGAGCAGTTTTCGCTACAGCGCGCGACTTGCTGCTGGCTGCAGATACACCCGAGCCGTTACTGCACCATAGAGAAGGCGTGCTTCTCGAGGTTTCTTTCCTTGCTGCAGCTTGTGGACTCCCCCTAGTGTGTGCCCCTTGCAGCAGCGTTGCGCTTGCCAGTTTAGGCCCTTCCCTGCAGCTCCAAGTAAGCCTTTGAACCCGATGAAGTGGTTTCCTCTGCGCGTTGCGCGCACGAGGCGGCAAAAGCGTCTGTCCGACCCTCTGGCGTTCGTCCACACACGTCGAGGGCTGGAGAGGGGGAGGCAGCGGAGTCTAAACTACAGCTTGCCGATAGGCCCAAGCGTTAGGTGTCTGTCGCACAGGAGGAAGAGGCACAACAACACGCTTTACTTCGCAGCCGGCTTAGAGTGGCAGAGGCTTGGCTGGGAGACTTCGCCGTCTTGCCGTGGTAAGTAGCACCGGTCAAGGTTGAAAAGCGTTCCCCACTTCCTCCTTTGAGTCTAGGATTTCTCGAATGTTGAAGGTTGCAAGCCTGTGCAACAAGCTGGATAGGGGGTTCGTTTCGTGGGTCAAGCGAGGTGTCTGCCCGCTGCACGGCGCACACGGCCTAAGGCTTGGAGCGTTGCCGCTACCCCTTATCTCTCTCTTTCTCTTTCTCTCTTTCTCTTTCCCTCTCTCTCTGACTCTCTCTTTCCCTCTTTCTCTGACTCTCTCTTTCCCTCTCTCTCTTTCACTTTCCCTCTCTCTCTGACTCTCTCTCTTTCTCCTTTTCTCCACACAAAAGCCTCTCTTTAGGTCTCTCCCTGAGCCTCTTTAATCCACGTCCGTCCCTACCCTACCGGCAGCACGTTGGTGTGCGCAATAGGCTTGCCCTCGGAGAACCTAATATTCCCCTAGGAAGGCCCCCCAGACCCTTGTGGCTTCGACTCCAAGGTATGGAGAAAGCCATGGCGGCAACAGCCACCCCCGCTTCTGCCAAGGGCGGTCCAACACCAGCAGATACTGTTGCAGCAGCAGTTGCAGACACTGCCGTGCCCCTCCAGACGCGTCCCTCCACAGACACAGCGGCGCATGCACTTGTCGAGCGGTGCAGCAAACGCAGCGCCGCAGCAATAGCAGCCGCAGCGGCGGCAAACACAGGACTGCTGCAGGGGCCTCCGCAAGGCTTGCTAGAGGATCGCATCCCGCTTCTAGGTTCGTAAACCCTCTTCCAAAGTACAGCCAGCCTGTCTCGGAGAGGCTACGATTTGGAACTGACTGCGTAGACTTTGTCAGATGCGCGCACCCTAGTACTGCCTGCGTGCAGGCAACATCAAGTGGCTATGGATGCACCGCTGGCCGCCCCTCTGCCTCTTCTTGGCGGAGGAAGGACCCCTTGGGCAGCGCCTTGAGGTCACAGCCAACTGCAGCGGCGAGGGGTCCCTCTTCGCAGCGGTCAGAAAAGTGCAGCAGGAGCAGCAGCAGGAGCAGCAAGCAAACTATTTGCAGATTCGGGCGCTGTCCTCGGCGCAAGCCGACACATGTTTAGACGGCCGGCTAATCGCGGTTCCGTGCAATCCACAAGACCCCCAGCAGTGGTACATATATATATATATATATCTCCTGTAAACCCTAAGCTCTGAAGCGTCAAAATGCCAAGCGCCAGGTGCGCATCTGCCTGCCTTGATCCCCTCCCCTCCTGCTGCGTACAGGTGGACGTACAGCGACACGCTGCTATTGCAGCACAAAGCCAGCAGTCGCTGCCTGGCCATACACCCCAGAAAGCACCATTTGCGCCTCCTCCCGTGCGATTCCGAAGACAGTAACCAGGTCAGTCTTCTCTCAGAAGGCTCTGCGAACGGCCTGCAGCGAGGGGGGGGGGTATAAACGTTATTCTCAAAGGGCCGTCGGTATTAGAGGCAGCCCATAAAATTCGCTTGACTGTCGCCGTGCGCGCACTGTCAAGGGTGCTATTTCTATTAAAGCTACGTTGGCAGCCCCCTACTTCTTTCCCTATATATGTACAATATATGTATCTCTGCTGCTTTTTTGCTGCATGCGCAGCATTGGCGTTGGCCGCCTGCGGTGTTTCAGCCGTGGCTGCCCTTGGGATCTGAGGAGCGTCTTAGAATGCCCTCTCCTGCAGTGCTGCAGCAGGAGCAGCAGCAGCTGCGACGGCTTGTCGAGCTGGCTCCAAAGCGCCGCCGTCCCCCTATGGGCAGGGAACTCTAAACTGCAGCATTAGCTGCCATTCACTGAACAGACACCTGACCCGCAAGCAGTCACGGCGAGGACTGCTGCCTCGTCTTCTAATGCTGCCGCTCCCATGACAGCATCGGGAGAGGGCGTTGCAGCAGCACACGCATGCAGCCCTTCCCCAAGCAGCGATGGCACTGCCACAGAAGCAGATTCCTCCGCCTCCTTCCCACAAAGCGGCTCCTGGCACAAGGCACCCTCCCCCTTAACCGCACAGGCCACCGGGTCTATCGCCATAAGAGGCACTAGCGCCTGCACTCGCAACAACAGCCACCCACAGCATTAAAACAGACGCCATTTTATCCATAGACAGCAAAATACGACACGCAAAAGCAACAGCAGCACAGCATACATGCATAGGTGCAAATTTACATACATATAGATGTATAGCTATATATACATATGAATATACAGCTATACATCTATATATATGTACATGCATACTTACATGCAGACATACCCGTACATACATACACGTACACACCCCCTATATATATGCATGCATGCATGCATGCATACAGAATCTGACAGGTTATGTACACACACAGAAGGGGTTGCACCCCTAAGGGTATGTATATGGGGGAACATACCTTTTGGAGATTGCTGAAGAGGTTAGGAATTTCCTTTTCCTGCTCGCTGAGCAGCAGCTTGACTCGGTGTCTCTGCGCGCAAATGACCACCATACTTTAGGAAGTTTGAGAACTTGTCTGCACCGGCTTGCAGACCCCTAAAGCAGTGCTTTGTGTACCCAGCCTAGAAATTTTGTCGTTCTCCCCAGCAAACTAAGGACATGCATACTACAAGCAGACAGAGCGCACAGTTCCCGAGTTCTTGCTTCGCGGATGCCATAACGGCGGGGACGAAAGATCTTGTATTGTGTCGCTTAGAGTAGCTGGGAGCCAAACGTGCCCTCTTACCTCTTTGGGATGTGCAAAGCAGGCAGGACAGTTCTCGTGAATGACGGGCAGCTTGTGCGTCTCTGCAAATCTTTGGGTAGATGCTTCCCGCGTAAAAACTAGAGGCCGTATGACCCTGACATCCCCGACGTCTACGGTGTAGTGACACTGCAGTACAAGCAGGCGACACCCGTCATGTCATGCAGCACGGCGGCCTGCCTGTGACTGTCGTGTGCCTCCGATGAGAAAGCGCGACAAAACTCGTTTTTGCACCACATTCTAACTGACACGAAAGCTTGCAGGAGGAGAAGCTAGATACAGGATAGGACAGGCAATCCCACACTGTGCAGGGAGGTGGCAGCAGACATGGCCGTGGATGCGGATGTGCATGCCAGGGCTGAGCGCACTGGGGCTTTACAAAAGCACAAGAAACACAGAAAGTCAGACTGCGGGGGCAGCGTTTGCGCGGGCTGGAAGAATGTGAACACAATTTGAGGCCATAGAGGCAAAGACCCCCTTTCCAGCTTCATACTTTCATGGTGTTGAGCCGTCCATTGTTGAAGGCGGACATGATGAAAGACTCTGCTAAATCATCCAGATGCTGTCCTAGCGCCAGGACGTTGAAGCCGTGCTGCGGAAATTCCATACACACACACACACATTGCTTGTACACCGGGAGCTTCTGCATTGACGAGTGTCACACGAAGACGGGTGGAAGAAAACTCCGTTGAAAAAGATGTGCGTTCGCCAGGTGTCCAGGCAGCAGGACAAACAAAAGGCACATATGTATATACATATATATATGTATATGTATATATATATCTCACCTTGCGCATGCAGGAATACAGAAGCCCCCTGCGCATCCTCGAGCAGAAGGCACATATAGACTCCCTTTGCATGTGCTGCCTCGCGAGCTCCATAATCGGAAGCTGCAAGCGATACCACGTTACGCCTGAAAAAGCAGCGTTGGGAAAGTCACAGAGAACGCACAAGAAGCGCAATGTTCTTGCTAGAAAGGCCTTCCCATGTGCCTGTCTGTCTGTGCAGCGGCAGCCAATCGCGAACCACCGGTTTACGGTTGCGAGCAAGTGCATCTGCTAGAGCAGCTAAAGTGTGAGCGCATTCCCAAGGACCTCTTCTCGTCAAACAGAAACCCCACCAGGCGCATCAGCATGCCTGCCCAGCCTCTGCGGGAGGGATGGGAGCCTTCTGTACAGACACTGCGCTACAGCCCCTCAGTCTGTAAGGATTTTGCGATAGTGACACTCGCGCACCAAGAGTCTGTAAATACGGCCCCAAAGGAGCTGGGTTGTAGCTGCTAGTTAGGGGATCCACAGTCGCAGCCGCCACGCAGAAGCGGATAGGGGCCCTCTGCTGTACGTCCAGCAAAACATGCAGCATCGTGAGGCTATCCTTGCCTCCGGAAAGCCCTACAAGAACTCGATCCCCGTCTCGCAGCATGGCAAATTTATGCAAAGCCAACCCAACAGAGCGACGCAAATCGCGGGGGATTTTCAGACGCTTTGGCAGGGGAACGGGCGGGGTTTTTGTTGCTATGGCTGCTGTTGTTTCTGCTGCTGCTGTTGTTGCTGTTTCTGCTGCTGTTGGTGTTGTTTCTGCAGTTGCTGATGCTGTTGTTGGTGCTGTTTCTGCTGCTTCTGTTGCTGTTGTTGTTTCTCGTGCTGCTGCTGTTGATGCTGCTTCGATTGCTGGCGGACTGGCCATTGCAACTGCCGCTACTGGAGAGGAGGAGCATGCACAGGCAGCTAAAGACACATCGATGACAGAATCCAGAGCGTCTGTCGGTGCAAATTTAATTTCTTTGGCCACTTCGATAGCCGCCGCGGCGGCCTTGCCCTCTGTTGATGTAGGAAGCCCTAATTTGTTCTTTCGTTTCGATACCTGCTCGAGCTGCTGCTGCTGCTGCCTGCTCTGCTCGATCTGCTGCTGCTTCTGCTTCTGCTCGATCTGCTGCTGCCTTCTCTGCTCGACTTGCTGCTGCTGGCGTCTCTGCTGGCGTTCGTTCGCTCGTTGCTGCTTCCGCTCGTGCCCTTGCGCGTTGGGGAGTACGTACACCGCGTTGTTGCTGCTGTCGTTGCTGCTGCTGTTGTCCGTACGGGGAATCCAGGGGTCTTCTGCTGCCATGCACATTTCTACTGCTTCCCTTAAAGTGGCGCATGCTGCTCCTGTTGCTGCAGTGCAGCAGCTACTGGTCTTGCCCTCGCTGCAGCTGCTGCATTGCAGCAGCGACTGCTCCGTGGCGTATCTCCGAACCTCAAAAACGGAGGCAAGTGCTCTGAGCTGCCCCTCTTCGGTTGGCGCTGCAGGAAGTGCCGCAGCACCAACCCACTGGACCGCTGAGGGAGCTACAAGAGGCCGCATATGCTCCTCGCCGTCTCGATGCAGCAGTTTGACGAGACTAAGATGCCCCTGATCGTGTTGCGCAAGCCTCTGACAAATCTCCCCAAACGTTTCTAAGCTCCCCTCCGCCGCAGGCAGCGGGGGGTGGGCTGCCTGCTGCTGCAGCTTCCACTGCGCCAGCGATGCTCTGCCGTCCTCTGGAAGGGCAAACCAGACCAGTGAAGCGGCAGTCTGCAACACTTGCGCATCGTAGTCCCCTCCTGCTGCTGCTGCTTTTGCTGCTGCTGCTGTAGCGGGGGGGGTAAGTAAGGGCTGCTCGTGGGCTGCAAGCAGCGGCACGCGGAAGCTCGCGGGGGAAGAGGCGGGCAGCCGCAGCAGCAGCGGGCGCTGCGGCGTGGCACTGCTGCATCTGCGGATACACCTGGAGGTCAGGGCGTTGGCGAACTGCAGCATTTCCATCAGAGGGTTGTTTGCATCATCTGACGCCGCACATCCGTCGCTTCGTGGCGTTTCTCCCTCGGCTGCACGACTCCCCGTGCCCTTTCTGCGCCTAGGCAGGCAGGTAGTGCTGTTGATCTGGGGAATAAAGTCACTAAGCCAAACGCGATGCTTTTCATCGGCCGCGCCTCTGCCTCCTGTTGCAGCAGCAGGGGTAGCAGAGGCAGCGGCAGCCGCTGCAGGGGCAGCAGCTGCCGCTGCTGCCGCGAGCGGCTGCCAGTCCCCCGTCTCCGCCTCCACCGAGTATGCGGAAAGCAGCTTATAGCCGTGTGTCGCTATCCACAGCACTGCAAGCAGCAGCCGCTGCAGCTCGTGCTGCTGCAGAGCAAGCGAGACGCTGACACGCACAACTCCCGGCCGAAGCAGTTCCTGCCCAGTAAGCAGTAGCAGCGCCTCCGTTGCAGCCACTGCAGCAGGTGGAAGCCCCAGAGAAAATGCGGTGTACGGACCTGCGCAGAGGCAGCCGCTGCGCGACTGGATGCCAAAGACGTCGCTCAACACCCGTACAACAAAGTTGGGGTGTAGATACAGCCCGCCCGAGGCCGCCGCTGCGACACCTGCGTCTCCAAGCCGCAAATCGTTGCCATACTTAATCAAGAACGAGACAATGCCCACGCGAGGCGCAGCCGTATTTCCCACTATTTGAATCCTGCAGAGAGAGAGGGGAATAAATACATGCACGCGCAGAAAAGCCAGGATCATCCTACACATGACAGCCATGCTCTCCCCCTTTTCTCCCTCCCTCCCTTACACACGACCCCGAAACCCCTTCTCTTCCCCCCCGCTTTCTTTCCCACTTCCCTCTTTTAAAGCGTCCAAATGCACAAGGCAGCAGCAGCAGCAGCCCTCCATCTACCTCGGATGCGCCTTCCAGATACGAATCAGAGCTTGTACTGCACAAGCCTCTCGTTCTCGCAGCTGTCGCACAGGCAGCTGCTGGAGAAGCCTCAGGGCAAGAGCCGTGCGGCAAATAGAGGGCAGATTGGGACTGCCCCCTTCTTCGCGTTCCTCCCCCCTGTCCATCAAATACACGGCATGCAATGACGCACTGGCAGATCCCTCATGCGGTTGCTGCTGCCCCTGATACGGCTCTTTCTGCTGCGCCTGCTGCTCTTGGCGACTCCATTTCGCATTGACAAGATACACCGAGCCGCCAGCAGGGTGGCAAGGGAGGTCAGACAGCAGCAATCGCTTTTTGATCAGGAGCAACCCTGAAGAACAGAGGCAGAGGCAGCAAACCTCATGCATCGAGAGTCGCTCTTGGCTGAAAAACGGTACAGTCCCGTAAAAGTCTGCATGTGTGCATGTGGACGTGTCTGTGTGCGATCTCTCCCCCCCCGTTACCCCCCGTCGAGAGAGGTGCTCCCTGCTGCACGGCTGCTGTTGAGGCAGCAAGCAGCACCAGCGCTATGCGGCAACAGCAGCAGGAACGCCTCTAACAAAAGCCGCCATCAGACGTGCGTGCTGCTTACCTGCAGAACCTGTCCCCCCAAGCAGTTTGTGGGGCGAAAAGAAAACGGCATCTGGGCCCCCCTCAGCGGCAGATTCTGCTGGGAAGGCTGCTAAGGACGGCTTTGCAGCGCGTGCTGCTGTTGCAGAGGCTGTTGCAGATGAGGGCCAGAGCCAGGGATGCATGAAGAGTGGGCGGGGAGGAGAAGCCTCCATTTCCTCGCTTCCTGCGTTGAAGGTATTCTCTTCTAGCAGCTGCTGCTGCAGCGGATGGAAGTCTATGGGGATGTGTGCTGCAGCAGCGGCTGCATCAACGGCAACAAGGCCGCCGTGTGCATGCACCAACTTGCAAATGCGTCCAAGAGCAGCAGCAAAGGCTGCCTCCTCGCCTCCGCTATGGCCAAAGTGTAAGCGTTGCGAGTCCAAAAGCAGGGTGCCAGTAACATTGCTAGCTGCGGAGATGAGGCACACTGGAATGAGGCACACTTTTTGATTCTTCAGACCTAAACGCGAGAAGAAAGACGCAAAGCCCTTAAAGCAGCACGCCAAGCCTGTCCTGCTGCTGTCACTGCTAGTGCTGTCGCCTATGTCAGCGTTGGTTTTGTTGATGTGGCGGTTGCTGCAGGAGACGCAGCAGTCCTCCGCTTCCTCCACGTCTTGGCCTCGCTCTTGCTGCTGATTATACAGAGCGCAGCAGCGGGAGAGGCGTTGCAGCGAGCGCTGAAGGCTGCTGAAGCAGACGGCACCAGTTGCGGTATCTAAGGAAAGCAGATGAAACGAGTGAGACACCCCAGAAGGAGCGGCAGGAAGCAGCGGCGTAGGCCTACTAATTGCTGCTGCAGTGCTGCAACGGCTGAAAGTATTTTCCTGGGGGAAACAAAACGCACCAGCGTGGACGGCAGCAGCTGCTGCTGCAGCTCCCCCACTAACAGTTTGCATGCTGCTGCAGTAGCTGCTGCCTTGAGATGGCGTGCTCGGGGGCCGTGTCTGTACAGCCGAGAACGGAAGCAGGAGCGAATGATGACCTGTGGGGTCACACAGAAAGGTCAGATGCACGTGTGGCTTCTGTTTCTGTTGCTGCTGTTGCTGCTGTTGCTGCTGCTTTCGCTCCAGAAACCGCAGCTGCTCTTCCACTTTTTGCTTTTGCTCTTGCAGCTCTTGCCCTACCGCCTCCCCCTCCCCCTCACGCTGGCGCTCCTGCTGCTGTTGTTGTTCTAGCTGCTGTTGTTCTTCTTGCTGCTGCTGCTGTTGCTGCTGCAAAGCAGCCCTTTCGAGGTCCTCTGCTGCATGCTGGTAGAGATGTCGCCGCGCATGCAGGGACGTCTTGAGCCTGCTGCTGCAGCGGCGGCAGCGGAAAGACTGCCATCGATCTTCTTCAAAGACTTCGGTGAAAGCGTGAAGATAGCTTTTGCTATTGACACCCCTAGCGGCAGCAGCAGCGAGTGCTGCTGCCGTTGCAGCGTGGGGGCCTGAGAGAAGGGAGATGGCTGCAGCAGCAGCAGCAGCAGTTGAAGCAGCCGTTTGTTGCTCCGTGAACACGGAAGTCTCTGCTCCAATGGAGCCAAGTCTTTTCGGCATCTCCTCTGCTGCAGCGGCGATCTGCGGTCCCCCCAGCAGCAGCAACTGCAAAAACTTGGAGGCTGCCGCAGAAGCTCCCGAGCCGCAGAAGTACAGAGCATCTTCTGGGGTGGCGTTGAAGTATTCCTTGGCGATCTGACGGGCCTAAAAGAGTCGCATGCACCCGCAGCACAACCCCCCACGACTCCACTCTACTCTACAGTCCCCGTCACACACGCGCATGCGTGAATGACAGTCTGCCTTCCTGTCGTGGATCCAGAGCTCTCGGAGATCACGCGAGGCGAACGGAGGCACTTGCAGCAACAAGCAAGCTGGTCCACTTACCTCTCGCACAAAGAAGGTTGCTTGTCTTCCAAGGGCGGCCTGGTGGCTATGCGTATTGGCTGCAAGCGGTAGCACAGAGGTCGCCATACACCTCTCTACCCACCGCAGTGGACGGCCTGCAGTCAAATAGAAGCACCCAATACCACGCATATATTGCATGTTCTTTCTCTCTCTCTCTCTAAATATATACATATATGCATACATGTATGTAAATACATATACATACATACATATATGTTAATACATATACATACATACATATATGTTAATACACATACATACAGATATGTAAAAATATAGAAGCATATGTAAATATACATATACACATCCAACCCCAATCCGCGAGAAACCTCCAACACAGCTTGTACCGGTAGCAGCGTAGTCGAAGTAAAGCAAGGGCCTTGGGCCAAAGGGTCCGGAGATGAGGCCTCCATGTCTTCTTCTCCTTTTTCTGCTCCCGCTGCTGCTGTTTCTGCCTTCGCTGCTGCTATTTCTGCCTTCGCTGCTGCTATTTCTGCCTTCGCTGCTGCTGCCTCTGCCTTCGCTGCTGCTGCCTCTGCCTTCGCTGCTGCTATTTCTTCTTCGGCTGCTGCTGCGGGGGATTCTACTCCCTTGGTTGGGGGTAAACTGGTTGCGTTCTAGGAAGGCCAGAGCCTCGCAGACTCCAGCCGCCGCGTTCGACACCATCTCCAAAGCCACAAACCTTGAAAGGCTGGGGGATGCGCACGGCTTTGCCTTCTTAAGGCGAGAAGCTGCGGCTGCAGTGACCTTCTCTACTCTGTCCAGTGCCTGTTCTAAACGTTGCCTTGGTCCGGCAACCCATCGCGCAAGTCAAAGCGGCTACTCGGCAGCCACGCAGTACTTTCAAAAAAGGTTTTTAAAGCCAAAAATAAGGTTTATGAGGACTAGAAGATCGAGTTTCCTCGAGCCATCGATCCGGAGCGAGCCCCCACATGGACGACGGAGCGGGGAACCTGCCACACCAACGAGAGTGCTCTTCCCCCTTTGAATGGATCTCCCATGCGCTGCATTCGGGGTAGCCGGGGCAAGTTGCTGCGACACCCTGAAGTAGAAAACAGCTTGGAATTTCTATTTAGGCATGACCTGCATTATTTGAGCCTCTGGCGGCATAGGCGGCGGCATTCTGCAGAGGGCCCGCAGGGGGCCTCTGCAGCGGAGTGTCGAGACACCCCAGGATGGTTCTGCAGCTCATGAAGCAACTCTGCCCTCGAGTGAGCCACGCCTTCCGTTTCGCGGCTATTGTTGATCCCGCCACTCCAGCTGTCTGCCAATGGAGTATCGCTGGCGGCTCGAGGGATCTATGGCCTCCGTTCAGGCACAGCAAAGGCAGCAGCAAGTCCAGGTGCAGCCTTCGGATCGGCTGCCCCCGAGGCTGCGGCAGTCCCCTTGATCGCCGGTGGTACAGAAACGCTGCAGAAGGCAACGAGCGCGAACTGCAGCAACAGCCGCAAGAGGAAGCAGGGGCCCCCCTACCAGCGCCAAGGCCTGCCGCAGCACGCGTTCTTCCTGCACCAGCTGCAGCAGAAGCGGCAACTCAAGACACAACTGCCGCTGCAGCAGCAAGGCGCAAATCCACATCGCTGGTGAATTTGCTACACATTGAAGACCTCGAATTCCAAGGCAGGCCCTCAGCTCCCTTTTGCGACTTTCTCTGGGTCGAAGCTAAGGGTGGACGCGGGGGTGCTCCAAGAGAGGGAGCCTTCAGGTGAGGCTTTAGAGGCTGAAATTCTTGCGGTAGTAAGGGTCTAAAGGCCTCAGATCTTCACAGCAGCCCTCAGCGACAGTAGCAGTGGCTGCTACTGTTCTTGCTCGTTGGGTGTCGCTCTCACTTTCCCCTTTTGCGAGGTAGCCGCGCGTCATCCCCCCGACTCACAGCGCGCACTTCATGCTGCCTCCCTCTAGGCATGACAGTGTGTTTCGTGCTTAGGTCGAGAGCCTTAGGCACAGGCCCTGGCTATGGAGGTCATGGCGGCTCGGTTGTACTGCGCTGCAGCAACAGCGTCAGCTGCTTTTTTACTGTGCAGCAGCTGATCGCTGCAGCAGCAGGGGGCGACGCGCAAGCCACAAGCAGAGGCTTGCATGCGCCCGACACCATCGTCAAGGTAGCTTTTAACTGCTTCGCACCCTCGTTTCAGGCTGTATGACTCCAGCCTTGTAGCCTTCGCAGCTGCCGCGGTATGCCAGCTCGTCTCACGTCTTGAAGGCGTTCAGGAGTTGTGCCTTTCCTCTTCCGTGTTTGCGTCTGCAGCTGCCCCCCGGTACGATCGTGAGGAAGCGCATGCTTCTCCCTGGCAAGAAAAGTGCAAGTGGACGTGCCATTAGAACTTCTGTCTTTTGGTAAGTCCACAATTAAGAGCTCTTTCAGGCTGTGTCAGCCTCTCGAGGACAAATTGCACTGCGCTCGCGCGCTTGCAGCGCCTCGGGGGAGGGGGGGACCGAAGGGTCAAATTGCGGTGTACAGCAACCTAATGTGGGGGAGGGGGGTCCGTGTTTTTAGCTGTTTGTGTGTGTATGTGTATGTGTGTATGTATATGTGTGTATGTAAATGTGTGTGTATGTATATGTGTGTATGTGTGTGTGTGTATGTATATGTGTGTATGTGTATGTGTGTTTGTGTCTACGCGTGTGTGTGTGTGTATGTATATATATATATATATATGTGGTATCTGTCTGTCTGTATGTGTGAGGTATCTGTCTGTGTGTTTTTGTGAGCTGAGTATGTATGAGTGTTTGTGTTAGCAGTGTCTGTCTGTCTGTATGTGGACGTGCAGGCAGCAGTTGTTAGAGGAGGGTCAATCGCTGGTTGTTGCCGCTGGTGGTCGTGGCGGAATTGCACCGTTGAATTTGAAGCAACAGAAGAAGAGACGCGCGCCAGAGGTGAGTTGCTAAGAGTATTCGACGCTTACGGATTAACCAAAGCAGAATGGCTGTGTGTTAAGGCTCCACAGGTGTGCTTTTCTCGCCACACACAAGGCTTTCACGCTCAAAGCTGAGGCTGGTATTTGTGTTATAGGGTGGGGAACGGATCTTTCTGGAGCTGGAATTGAGACTGAAGAATGACGTCGGCATTGTGGGGGAGAGCGCCGTCGGGAAGACGTCCCTGGTCTCGGCGCTGACAAGGTAAGGCGCTCTTTAGGGACTAAGAGTGCAGAGTGTTTTTTTTAAAAGCAAGCTTTATGTTGGTTTCAATGAAACACATTTGAGAAACTGAAAGTGTAGAGTGTTTTTTTTGAACAGGCTTCATGTTGGTTTTAATTAGACGAATTTGAGGAACTAAGAGTGTAGAGTGCTTTTTTCAGACAGGCTTCGTGCTCGTTTTTAATGAAACACATTTGAGAAACTAAAAGTGTAGAGTGTTTTTTCTAAAACAGGCTTCATGTTGGGTTCAATGAAACACATTTGAGAAACTGAAAGTGTAGAGTGTTTTTTTAATACAGGCTTCATGTTGGTTTTAATCACACGAATTTGAGGAACTAAGAGTGTAGTGCTTATTTATTAAACAGGCTTCTTATTAGCGTTTTTCTGGGGAATTAGGGCCTGACTAAAAGTCTTGTTTTTTAGAAAAGACATCATCCTTTTTGCGGATGTAGAGCAGCGCGGGTGTGTTGGGAGCAAAGGCGTGTTTCTTTCTTTTGCAGCTATCAGTCACGCATAGGTCCTGGAGGCTTCCAGACGCGGAGGCCTCATTTGGCAGCGCTTCGCTGGGTAAATGGTGAGGAGGCGGTCCTTTTAGACAGTCCAGCACTCTTTCCGGAAGCACACAAAGTAAGTCTCCTCGGTTCCCATACTGTTTTGCGTGTGCTTGTTCTTCGCGACAAACTGCGACAGCGTCGGGCATGCAGGGTCGGAGCAACGTGGGGCTTTGCGTGGGCGCGCTTGGAGGGGGAGAAGGGGGCACCATCGCGACGGTTTGAAAAGATATGAATGCCGCTATTGCTGCAGGACAAGCGGCTAGGATTGCGCATTCTGCGGCACTTTTATCGATCGCGGGTATTCCTTTACGTCGTCGACCCTACAATTACGCAGCACCACCAAGACCAACGTTTGCTGCTCGCCCAGCCACAGCAGCAGCAACGACAGGCCTTGCTGCGAGCCGATAAGGGCCCCCACGGCGAACCATTTCTTCCTGAAGAAACGCAGCAGCAACAAGAGCAGGCGCAGCAACAACAAGAGCAGGCGCAGCAGCAACAAGAGCAGGCGCAGCAACAACAAGAGCAGGCACAGCAGCAACAGGAGCAGGCGCAGCAGCAACAAGAGCAGGCGCAGCAGCAACAACAAGAGCAGGCGCAGCAACAACAAGAGCAGGCGCAGCAACAACAAGAGCAGGCGCAGCAGCAGCAACAGGAGCAGGAACTTGAGGAAGACCGCCTTCTGGATGTTTATGGGAAGCTGTCGTCGGACGTTTTTTGCCAGTTTTTGCGGCTGCGCCGAGAACTTCGTCTCTCTGATGTGCACTTTCATCGCAAATTAGAACTTGTAGGCCACTCGAGCCTAAGTCTATCTACTGTCCAAACTGACGTTGGGGGGGCGCTATCGCTTTCCGGTGTCATTGCTGCACTGCTTTCCACCTGTGTGTGCACAGGTGGTTGTTTCGAAGTGTGACGCGTTGGGTCACCAGCCTCTGCTAGCCGTCGATTCGCTGTATCACCGCATGCAGCACTTTTTCCCAGGGGTTCGCGTTTTAGGTGCGGCAGGAAGGAAGCGCTTACAACCTCGGCGCCGCTGCCGAGAAAGGGAGGGAGGGAGGACAGTGACAAAAATCTTAAATATTTCTTAAAATCGAACTTCGCACGGCTTGCGCCAGCTTTTCTAACAGCAGGGGTGTCTGTCTGTGTCTGTGTGTGCCTTTCTCCTTGCTGCAGCGACCTCGTCCCGCTTCGGACTAGGCCTTGACGCAGTGGCTGCTGAGCTGCACAGCCTGCTTCTGCAGCAGCAGCAGCAAGAGAACATGCAACAGCAGCAGCTCGAAGCCCCACGGCGGAGACAGCGTGTCACACTGGAGGCAGACGCGCTCTCTCCGCTGTGGCCACCCTCGTGAACCCCCCTTTCCCCCTCCCTACCAAAGCTGGAGCGAATACTGCTTTATATATATAGACATGTATAAATACACATATAAGTTCTTCCTGCTGCGGTTGGCAATTGCACCTTCGGTCAGCACGGACGAAAGGACGCCCTCTAGTTTGAACCCCTAGAGAATGAACATTTGCCCTTTTTAAGGCACTGGCCGGCCCCTTGTATCTTGCTTGCTGATACTGATGCTGCTACTTCTTTACACGGCGCCTCCCCCCGCTTACCCGCCCTTATTTTTTACCTCCCTCTACCACCCCCCCCAAGGCGTCCCAGCACCTGACTTCCCCCTACTATGACGTTCCTAGGCACACAAAGACTCCACCCCCGCTGTTGCATGGGTGCCCAATGAAAAAGAACCCAAACTGCGGAAACTCTTGGAATCTCCTGCTCGTTGTCGTCATACTGCTGGCGAGAAAAAGGAAGGACACCACAAGGGGGCTAGCGGGGGGAAAGGAACGGCTTGAGGGGGAGCTGCTGTATCACACACGCGACGCCACCACTACAACCAGTCCTAAATACAAGCGCATGAGCAGCACGCATGCGTATCACACGTGGATCTGCCGAGCCACGCGCGCTAATTAATGGCTTGTCCTCCCTGGTGTATTGCATCATCCGCTTTTCTGCTCTAAAGGAAGGGGCCAAATCCATCCGAGATACCGTCTGAGGAGGGCGCGTCAGCCCGTCCCCTTGATGACGCTACTGCTGCATGAAAACAAACTCCCAGCGCTGCTGCTTTTCCCTCATTTCAAACTCCTCTCGGTAGCCAGATTGAAGTCGGAAATGCACGGAACATGGTGGTAGTGGACGATATCCTCAAGCGGCCCTAAAGGCACCCCGCTTGTCTCGACTTGCAGCGTTAGCTCATAGGCATTCTCCCACTGCCCGGAGAGCAGTTGTTGTTGGTACGGATGATGCTGTCGTAGTTGATCGCTCTGAAAGTTGCCCAAGGATTGCGCAGAGAGGCTGACGGAACGGATCCAGGCACGAAACTCGATAGGAACATTTCGCATTTGACAGCCAGGGGGAAGAGTGAGCGGCAGCCCTCCGTTGTAGAGTATGGCGTCTGATGCTTTGGATGCGGGAACCCCCGCAGCATCTCGGCTCGTCACTTCGGAGGGAAAGATCAACTTGATTTCGTTTCTTGATGCGAGCACCCGCGGCTCGAAGAGAACGGTTACTCTCCAGGTGCAGCTCTGAATCTCCCTGAATTCGTAGAGTGGCATTCCTTGCAGCGCAGGGGCCGCGGAAGTGGTCATGGCAGGAGGATTAACCCCCAACAGTTGCGTGAAATCAAAAGGCGCCTCGCAGGTCGACTTGTTTGGGAAGAACTCGTAGAAAGAACGGGGGTGCGAGAGGACCTTCACACCTTTGATAAACTGCTCGTTTTCGTGCACGCTCGTAAAGATGGGTGTCGGGCTCCTTGGATTGCACTCGCAGCGCGGGTTGAGGGGTATCGTTACACTCCTACTGTCGATCGATCCAGCAATGCGGCGGAGTTTAGAGATCATGGTACGAAAGGGATTCACGGGATGACGCGTCATATCCTCCATGAGAATTGACATAAATTGCGTGCTCGCGCGGCACATCACACCCACATTTCCCCATTTCAGCCTAAACCACTCATGGTCCGTAAGTTCCCCAATGGTGTACTCGTTTAGACAGGCCTGGTAGTCCTCTTTGGACGGCTTTACGGGAATAGAGGGCGTCACGCACGAGATGGGGTTTCCATACCCACTGCGTACAAGCAAAGGCCTGGCTACATCCCCCCCGGAAACAGTAGATACTGCCGCCAATCCGCCTACCGCTACGGCCACCCACGCCAGCACGAACCTGCCTGACGACATCTTGCGAAGCAACACGGAAACGGCTGCCATGCAACAAATGCAAAGAGGTGAGAGTAACTGTGCGGAAATCAGTAATTCCAAAGCTGTTCACCAAACTTGTTGGACGCCCGCGACGCACAATGGCAAGCGGGGGGGCACTCGATCCTCTCTCTCCCTTCTCCCGAGCGCAAAAAAGGATAATCAGCAACTAGGGTGTGAAGGACCGTCTATGCTTTCTGTTAAACAATCACAGAATTCGATAGCGTTGAAAAGAGGAGCTAAGCTCGCAAAATCAACACAGCTGGCAGAGTGACGAGCGTGCCACGGCTAAGGAAGCACCCCTCCTCTCTCATGATGATACCAGTGAGTTGGTTGAGCGGCACGAAACCCCACGGCAGCCGATTCCTAGCAGAATGGCGTACCCCCCTAAATCTTCGAATTGCGGTGTTAAGCGGGATAAAAAACCAATAGTAGCCGCAATATTACCTTATTACCGCCCACTTTACCGCGAAATAGAGGTCGACTGCGCGCCACGTAGGGGCACGATCGCGCAGTTGAGCTTCATCCTAGAAACGCTTTGCATCCCGACACCCAAAGCCTTACGTAGCACACTAGATACTATTAGTGTAATCTCCGGCAAAGACGAAGTGCTGACACAAATACATGCTCCAGCGAAAGCAGGTGTCTCACATCCTGCCTCCCCTCGCCTCTATGGTTTCCATGGTCGGTGATTTTTTTCGTAGCAAACAAAGAAAAAGCTTGTGTCAAACGTGCGTACGCGTCGTGCTGGAGGGGCACGCCTTCTCCCAACCGCCCTCTTGGGGGCCTTCCCCCCCCGCACTCTCCCCTTCCACTTTCCTTCCTCTTCACCCTCTCCTCCCTTCTGCTTCTCGCTACCTCATGCAAACGCTCTCCCCCTGAAATTTATGGTGCAAGAAGCGACAGCGCTCATGCCAGGGAGTCGGAAGAGCCTTTTTAGCTTAGAGTTGGCTCAGATTCTAGTACTGCTCCGTGCATTGCAGAAAAAGCGGACTTGGTTTCTGCAGCAAAGGCCCTGCAAGGGCAACTCCCGTTAACGCAGAGATGGAGCCAATCCTTTAAACCGCACTTCCAAATCCTGCAGTTCAGTTTCATGCCAAAACCTCGCATCCCCCGGCGGAGGTGCTTCTGCTAAACCCTGTAAACAGAGCCACGCGCACGGCGTCTGGCCACAAAAAAACTCATCCCCTCCCTTCCCCGCGTACCACACGTCGCAGACTCGGCAAGAATCTCCGCTTTCGGAGGGCAATTCATCCGCCGCAGACGCGGGCGAAGGGCGCGCCTTGGCCAAGCATTCGGTGAGCTCTCTTGAATTCAAATAGGATTTTCGGCACTTGGTGCTTCTGCACGTTGCTGACGTCTTTGCCGACTTCAAAGGGGTTGTCTACATGCAAAAAGCTGCTGCTGCTGGTGTAAGTACAGCTGGGGCTTGCGGGCACCGAGCGGATAGCGATGGGCTCCCCTTTGTATTCCTGGGAGTAAAAGCGGAAAAAGCGAAGCAGCAGCTCGCCTGCAGACGGCCCCGGCAACCGCTGGTGCTGAAGCAGCAGCGAATGGGCCTGTTGTTGCTTTTCTTGCGCTGCATCCGTTACCTCGCCACCATGAGCTTGCTGCTGTTGCTGCTGGATGACACCGGAAGCTGCAGCAGCAGCAGAGGCTGCTGCCGCAGCGGCAGCGGCTCGGTCTTCGGTGTGCTCCAGATACAGCTGCTCCATTTGCTGCTGCAGCACGCGCGGATCGCAGCAAAAGCGGCAATCGACGCCCTGTATGTACACCTGCTGTTGCTGCTCCTGCTGAGCCAGGTCTTGAAGCAGCGGCAGCAGCTTCTGCAGCTGCAGGAACCGAATCGCCATGAGGGTGAGCGAAAAGGAAGATAAGGTGCCTTCTGCTCGGCTGTTCATGCACCGGCTGCGCGCCCAGTGCTTGAGGGAGAGGCACAGCGTGCGAAGACGGGGCTCGAGGTGTACGTACACCCCAACCAGGCGGCTGTTAATGATTCCCAGCAAGTTGTTCACGCTGATGTCGCAGGCCAACTGTTGCTGCTGCCGCAACAGCACTTGTTGCTGCTGCTGTTGCAGCCGCCGGTTCCCCGGATGCCGCAAGCAGAGGGCAGTAGCAGCGGCAGCCACGCTGCTGCTGCGTGGAGCCCAGTGCAGCAACGGAATGACCGCATGGTATCGAGACTCGACGTAGTAACCCTTAACTTGCTGCAGGACGGCAGCAGCAGTTTTGAGAGCCTGCTGCTGCTGCTGTCTGGTGTTGCAGCCTGGTAACAGGAGGCACACGTCTATGTCTGCCGCAGCGGTCCATACACCCGAAACGCACGACCCGAAACCAGCAACCGAGACACCCCGCAGCTGCTGCTGGTGCCGCAACACTTGCTGTAACTGCAACAAAAAACTCGATAGAGAGTTCAAATGTGCAGCATTCGGAGGCTGCAGTTGCTGCTGCAGCTGCAACAGCTCCTCAGTTAGTGCCGCTGCAATGGCGTCCGAACAGCGGGCAGTATACACGTCCCGCGGGAGTACTAAAGGAAACGACAGGATGTCTTCATAGATGCTACTCGTCGTGGTGGTGTTTGTATCTCCACTACTGTTGCTGCTGCTCCCTTCATCATTGGTGGCCGTCGTGTTTCTATCTCTACTGCTGTTGCTGCTGCTCCCTTCATCATGGGTGGTCGTCGCATTTGTACTGCTATTTGTAGCAACCCCAGTGCAGTCCAAGCTGCTGCTGCCCCCGGATTCCGTTGCCACACCGCTTGCCGTCTGCTGCAGCCTTCGCAGCTGCGAGTCGTTCCACGGGGTCACCCTGAACGTGGGTGTTACTGCGGCCGATATGGGGGGAGCTGAGGGGGCTGCTGCTGCCGCAGGAGTTGCCGCTCTAAAGGGAGGCTGCACATGCCACAGACGAGGCCCCCCTGGGAGTTCGATAAAAATGCCAGAGGGAGAGGATCGTTTCCGACTAATGCTCCGTTCGTTCCTGCACCTTCGGAGCGCTGTATGCGCGCGTGGCGGTAGAAGCCGTGTTGCTGGAGCAACAAGGGTGCCTCTGGTGAAGATCTCCATCCATGTAGAGGAGACCCTTCAGAAGAGAGCTCCCCAAATGCGCACCCTCTCCCTCCCGTTGGCTCCGATTAGCTGCAAATAGAGACTTCTGTGGGATGTTGCCGCTGAACTGCGCGTCCTGCGAACATTTCGGTGAAAGTGCAACTCCGTGTTGCAAGCGGCTTCACTCTCCGAGCAGCAGCAGCGGCAGGGGGAAGGGGCTGCAGCCGCCACACCCTTGTTCCTGCTTGATATTAATTTCGCTGTAGAAAGTAAAACTTGTGCAGACTGCCGACATTTATCGTTCCCCCTCGTGCGGGTGTTCCGCCACTGCAGCCCCTCCGAGCCGCCTCGATGGGAGGGCCCCTCCAGGGGGCCCCCTCCCCCCCAACGAATGCAGAAGACGCCCTCCCTGCTGCTGCAGCCGCTGGTGCGGGCATTCAAGCAAAGAGGGCTGCCCCCTCGGGAGGAGACGAGTTGAAGAACAGCCCGCAGGAGACTCTTCTAGCCGCAGGAAGGGGCCTTCTAGGGGGTCTTGGGGGAGGCACCCTTTATGCAGCCGTGCAGTCCGTCAGACACGAGCGTGAGCTCCTGAACTAAGCTCGCCCGACTGCGGTTCTTGCTAAAAAAGCCTTCCCCGAGGGGTGTCATCAACCTCCACGCGGAATGCTCCCGAGGCAGCCTGCATGCTGCGTTCTGCCTGCAGGCCACCCAGCCGCCTTTATGTTCGGAGCTTGCGGGGCGTTTCTGGGAGTCATGGCGCTCACCACAACTCTGACACTCAGGAGCCAGAAGAAACACAAAAAAGGCCTCGTAAGTGCCTCTGGGAAACCCTCCCCCGCTCTAGGCGAGATCGCTCACTCCCAGGATTCAAGGGAGGGCGCTAACCCCAAAGCAATGAGAAGGGGCCCTTAGATCTTTCACGGGAGGCGGGAAGAAAGGGGTGCGGATTCGGGGCGTGGGGCACTTTGCTGAGAACTTCCTTGTGTGCAACATCCCGCATTCGTTTGTCTGCTTGCGCCTGCCGCCGCTGCTGCAGCGAAAGCTCCAGAACCAGCACATCAAGTCTATGAAATTTATGGTACGCCGCCCCGCCTCCTTAAGACCCCGTGTGTACGTACACCGCTAGCGGCTAGCTTCGCTACATCGTGGCAGCAGCGCGGGGCCTCTTTTTCTAGTGCCTCAAACCTTCGGTGCCCCTAGAATATCTGCATGCACCGCAGGATCTAGAATCTCTGGCCCCTCCCATACCCCCAGATGCGGCCACTGCGGAAGGCGAAAAGGCAGCGCAGCAGCTACTCGAACGGTATGGCTAGCGCTTGGCTAGCTCCGAGCGCCTTAGGATATGCGGGGAGCCCGTGTCGGGAAGAATTCGTTTCCCCAACTCCCCTCCCCGATTTGCAAAAAACTTCCACAGCCGTGTGCTTCCCTTCAAGCTGGGCAGTGCATGCGGCAAACAAAAAATGTTAAAGGATTCAGAGTCTACGGGAAGCCAGCGATAGGCGGCTCAGGTTTTTGCTGAGCCCGCTGGGGAAGCTGTTTCCATCCAGGCGTTGTTTTCTCTGAGCAGCGCATGCATCAGCCCCAGATATAAAAGGCCTTGCACACAAACACACTCTCTGTCTCTCTCTGTCTCTCTCGTCTTCGAGCGCTCGTCCCCCTCCTTCCCACAAACCGCTAATCCCAGAGCCTTGAACTCTCAAGCCTCTCTAAATCTGTAGACTCTCACCGTACAACGCCAATGACCACGGAAATGTCGTCGGGTTTTCCCCCCGAATGCCTTGGCAGCACACCCAGCAGTTCGCGCTCCTTCGTGGCGAACGGGCTGTCCCACTTGCTGTGTACAGACACCCCAAATATTGGCAGACCTCCTCCCTGTAACTGCCCATCGTCTGCCCCCGCGGCTTTCAGCTCAAGCAAGCCTATCCTTTGCAAGCCAGTATTCTCTCTCTCTCTACGGGCACATCTCTTTCTTTCCCTATTTATCTTTCTATTTTTCTCTCTCTATGCACGTGCACTTTCCCCCCTTTTTGACCTTAGGCTGGCGCCGGCCGGGGCAGCAGGGTGCAAGGACTTGCGTGGCTCACGGGCTCTGAGAGAGCCTCGCGCATAGGCGAGCGATTCGGCTAGCTGCCCGCTGCACAAAAGCGGCGCGCACACACTCCTCGCAAGACAGCGAATTTGCAGGCTTGTAGCCTGTGCAAACCACGAGGCAGCCGCCGCTTCCTTAAACTCGCTATTCCCGCACGGCTTGCATTGAACACTTTCACAGAATGCGCACTGCGGGATCCGGCTGTGAAGCGAGCTGCTCTAGCACTTGTTCATCAAACAAGTTGTCCCACACGCCTGCAGGAACAAAGCAGCACTTAGGGCGGCACGGATAATGGCGAAAAACAGCGTGTGAAATATATGCAGGGATACACACAAATATCTACATGGGTGCGCGGCTGCGCACTGTCTCGACACTTCCGCATGAGGAAACGCAGGGAAGAAGGCAGCTGAAACCCAGCTCTTCCGGAAACACAAGCTCCAAAGAGGGGCCGCTTCGCGTTCATAGTCTCGCGCACCGTCAGTTGCAACAAAAAGAATGTCGCCGGGTTCTGTAGGAGCCGTCTGTAGCAGAGCAACGGCAAGAGGCAGGCATGGTCACAACTAACAATCCCGCCATGAAGCCAAGAAGCCTTCTCCCTCGGCACCCGTACAATGCACAGCAGCTGCAGCAGCGAGAGAGGGAGAAAGGGCCTGCAGGCGAACAAATCCCCCCTTCCCCCACTTCACAACGCCGTGAGCTGCGGCATTCACACCAAACCCTCGTACGTGGTAGTGCAGCACCATCATCGGCACCTCGCTTACCAAAAGATGAGAATGCTCAGGAAGGTCTTTGCTACCGGTGCCGAGCTGCAACGGGAAGTTGAAGGCGTGGCATTGAAACTCACTCCTCGCAACGATGGTCTTGCTAGACGGCCTGACGCACCCCCCAACGTACCCTCAGCTTTTAAATTTATTGGCAAGCGGCAGGGCACCCGATAAACAAGCACGCACCTGTGTATGTATATGTATGTGTATATGTACGTGTGTATGTATATGTATGTGAATATGTATGTGTATATGTGTGTGTATGTATGTATATATATATGTATATATTTGTATGTATATAAATTATGAATATGTGAATGTATGTATGTGTCTTTGTCGCCGTTTGTCTCTGTCTACGTGTGCCGCAAGCCTTCCCTAGGCCCGTTCCTGGCTTCCCGCTGCGGCTGCTGCTAACTAAGAAGCTTCCAACAAGTCTAAACCGTTTTCTGAATTTGAATATCCTTTGAAACTTGCCGGTAGAGCAGAAATCCGGAGTCTCCTAGGTTAGCTGCACGAATCATCTTCCTCTCCCAATCGAGCAGCACCAAACAGCACGTGCTGTACGTACAGCGCATCACAAGGCGGATTTTGCGCAGACTTGAAGGCCAGCCTGAGAGGACTGCGTCCTAAAAGCTCGCAAGCCTTCCATCAAATAGGATTCCCCAAAGAAGCCCTCTATGCGCACCAAGATCCAACGGCGTGGGTGGCCAAGAACGCCTTCTTCATGGCAATGAGAGGATACACCGCAGCCTCTCCCCCTTCGTCAACCGCTGCAGCTATCCTGAAGGCACAAAACAGCACGCAGCGCTCAAGCTTCGGCAAAGACTGCTTCTATTGGCTGCTTTCCCACAAGGAACTGGCTTGCTGCTCATAGACACTGCAGCACAGTGCAGGGCTGAGTGCAGAAGGCAGCACCTGCTATCCGCTTTCAGCTGCACGCAGAACGTGGCAAGACGTGAAAACGGAATGTGCAAAGCGTCTCAGGCAGCGATCAGGAAAAAAGAGTTCATTAGGAAGGCATTTTGGAGTCATGCCCGGCATGTTTCAAACACCAGACAGCAGCCGCATCCAGGGAGCTTGAGCGCACTGGAGGGCAGTAGTTCAAAATGCAAAAAGCGCAACCACGCGATGACACCAGGCTGCTGCTACACACGATACGCGGCAGCAAGTGCCCTTTATGTTACCTCTTCACAAGTTCCTTCGAATAAAGACCCGCATCTACTCCTGACGATTCCCACCCGCCAACACCATCGGCAACTACCAAACACCTGCACGCACAAAGACAGCCAAAAGACAAACATACATGCATAGATCCAGATATACAAACATATACAAGCATATATGTACAAACAGATGCAAACAAATGTACACATGCTAACACATATACATACAAACACAAACATACAAACAGGTAGGCACAAACATATACAAACATACACATACAAACACCTACGAACATATACATACAGACATATACATACAAACATGAAAATATAACCATACAAACATGTACATACAAATACAAATACATACAAATACATACAAACATATGCATACAAATATATACATACAAACATATAGATACAGTCATAAGAGCATACAAGAATTCACACACACGCCCAAGAGAAAAAGTTGTTCATGATGTGCGCAGTGTAGTAGCTGCCCTTATGCCTCGAAGAAGCAAGAAGCAAAAGACGCCGTGTCTACAAGGCATCAAACATGAGGTCTCTCTGTCTGCCTCTCTGCCTGCCTATACATCAGCCAGCAGGCAGACAGACAGATAGACGTTATGTATTAGAGACGTTATATATTGGAGGACAAATGCCTCATTAGTAGTGGGGGTGCTCCACAGATATACCGAGTGCTGCAGAAGGCTGCATCTTCCCCTCCACGCTGCCGCTTTGCAGGGTGAGGTATCACAGCCTGGCTGCAAATCAAAAGGCCACATCACGAATTTCGAGGGAGTCATTCACGCACACAGCAGCCGAAGTTCGCTGGATACTCTACCGTGTGAGCCTGCTGCTCGCTGACACCACCCCTTCTGTGATGCTGCTGCTTACTGCGCATCCAAATACAGGGGGTACTTATGGCCTCGTCCTTGCATATGAAGAATGCCAGACTTCGCCCAAGGCGCTGCATCCGTAAAAATCCATCGGCTGCCCAGCTGTAGCGGCTGCTGCTGCGGAGAAAAGCCTCCGGCTCCTTTCGACAGTGCTGCGCATGCACCTGCTGCTGCTGTTGAGCCCGTCAAATGCGAGGCATGCCAGCGACAGGGTTGTTCCTGAAGATCACCCCTTAGAGCCCTCACACGGGGTGACAGCCATTCACTTCTGCTACTGCATGGCACTTGACGCGGCAGCGAGGCTGCTGCTGCTGCTGCTGCACGTGCAGTTTGACTCGCAATCATCGCAGCGTTCGTCTGGTGTCCATACACTGCAGCGATAGCTTTTACGGCAGCGCATCAAGCGGCCTGGCGGCTGCGCGTACTACCCTACTGTTTCCCTCTCTTGTTCTTGTGGCTGCTACTTGCAGCTGTCTGTGCTGCCTGTGCTGCAAGCTGCTAGAACCCGCCGTGAGGCGTGCAGCAACAGCCGAGGCACGATGGGTGAGGTTCCTTCCAGCGCATCAACTGCAGCCTTGCTGCTGTCACCCTCCTCCCTGTGCCTGGGTGCTGCTGCTGCTCCTGCTCCTCCTCCTCCTCCTGCTTGAGCCTCGATGCAGTTCGACAAATAAGAACGCAACGCGCCGTCGTAGAAGCCGCTTCCGCTGCTGCTGTTGCGAATGTGGGAACGGAGGCTACGGGGGGCATAGTATACGTGTCTGGATGGCAGCTTTATACCGCAAGGCGGCCGTTAGGGCTGCTGCCGCTGCAGACGCTTCCCGACATTCAAAGGCGGCGAATTAAACGCAAATATAGTCGAATTGAAGATATATTTAAGAGCGCACTTAGCCCGCGTGTGCCTGTGGTGAGGCTTCTGCTGCTGCGGCGGCTTTTGCGCTGTAGGAGGGGGCGGTCATCCCCGAGGCGGAGCTACGACGGCTGCTGCGGGTGCTGCTGCTGCTGCATGTGCTGCGTCAGCGGCAGCAGCAGCATTTTGTAGGGACAAAACTTGGCAGAAGGGGTTGTTTGAGTGGCAGCGAATCCCCCTGAAGCGGCGCAGAGCAGTAGAAACAGCAGCAACACGCCTCCCCGCCGCTACCCTGGTTCTAGTCGTGCAGCAGCAGGGAAGCAGCAGCTGCTGCTGTTGCTGCTGTTAGGGCCGTTGAGTACTTCCTACAGCAGCAGCAGCAGCAGGCAGAGAATGGCAGCGGCAGCCGCCAATGACAACCTGCAGATGCAGCGGGAGATTGCAGCAGTGTTTGCTTCTGCGGGCAGCAGCAACAACGAGGTGCAGCAGCAAGTGGCAGCGGCCCTCAACCGCATAAACGATGTTCCCAATGTATTTATCCATTACGCAGCAATCCTCGGGAGCTGCAGCTACTCCCAGGATGTGCGGCAAGTCGCAGGCTTAAGCCTGAAGACCTCTCTCCAACGCCAGCAAGTGCTGCAGCAGCAGCAGCTGCAGCAGCTGCTACCCCCGCTGCTGCAGGCGCTGCAGGAAGAAGCTCGCGATCTCCGTGCTGCAGCGGGATCAGCAGTCACGGCGTTGGTGTGTTGCCAGCAGCTGCCGCAGCAGCAGCTGCAGGAGCTGCTGCAGCAGCTGCTGCTGCTGCTCGATGCACCGCGCTTCGATGTCGCCGAGGGAGCTCTCAACACCCTCTCCAAGATCGCCGAAGACATGCTGCAGGGCGTTCGGCTGCAGCAGCTGGAGCAGCAGCAGCTGCAGCATCCCGAGCAGCTGATCGTCTTCATCCACTGGACGCAGCAGCAGCTGCTGCCGCGGCTGCTGCTGGAAGCGAACCCCTCTGCTGCCGCAAGCACATGCATTCATACGCCAGAGCAGCAGCAGATCCTGCAGCAGCAAGCCGTCTACACGCTCAACTTGTTCTCCGCAGCGCAGGGGTTCAGTGAAGGAGCTCCCTTCTTCTCCCTTTTCCCCGAATACTGGGGAGTCTTAGGATCCCTAGCTGCTGCTTCCAACCCAAAAACGCAACGCGCTGTCATCCAAGGCATCCTGCAGACTCTCGAAACGCGAGCAGCACCCGTCTTAGAGGCTGCTGGCCCTCTGACGGAGTTTTTCTTGCACTGCGGAGGAGCTGCAGACTATCAGCTGAAGCAAGATGCTCTTGAATTCTGGCCGGTAATTCAAGAGAATCTTCTCTTGATTTGCGCAGGGGCAGACTAGGGGAGAGTGTTAGAGGAGAAAGCGAAGTGGGGGGGTGCCAGGCGTCATGTACTCCTTGTTGACGAGCGTCGTCATTGTTGTTTCGGCTCGGGGTGGTATTACTGTTGTTGTTCTCGGTGGTAGTATTGTTGTTGTTTTTGGTGGTAGTATTGGTGTTGTTTAGTGTGGTATTATTGGTGTTTTTAGCGTGGTATCAATGGTGCTGTTTAGCGTGGTATCAATGGTGTTGTTTAGCGTGGTATTATTGGTGTTGTTTAGCGTGGTATTATTGGTGTTGTTTAGCGTGGTATTATTGGTGTTGTTTTCTGTGGTATTATTGGTGTTGTTTAGCGTGGTATTATTGTTGTTGTTTAGCGTGGCAGTATTGTTGTTGTTTAACGTGGTATTATTGGTGTCGTTTTCGGTGGTATTATTGGTGTTGTTTAGCGTGGTATTATTATTGTTGTTTAGCGTGGCATTATTCTTGTTGTTTAGCGTGGTATTATTGTTGTTGTTTAGCGTGGTATTATTATTGTTGTTTAGCGTGGTATTATTCTTGTTGTTCTCAGTGGTATTATTATTGTTGTTTAGCGTGGTATTATTGTTGTTTAGCGTGGTATTATTGGTGTTGTTTAGCGTGGCATTATTCTTGTTGTTCTCAGTGGTATTATTATTGTTGTTTAGCGTGGTATTATTCCTGTTATTGTTTTTGTTCTTGTTGTTATTGTTTTTGTCATTGTTGTGGTAAAGTAAAGGAAGGGGTGGGGTAAGCTTTTTTTTCTACGGAGTATGTGAGTGCTCTCACGGTTAGGATCCTTTCGTTCTACCTCCTCGCCTTCAAGGAGCCGCTGTTTTATGTGCGATTGCAGGCCATACTGCGCGAGGCAACGCATGCACCGCAAGAATTACAGCAACACGTGTTGCAGCAGATTCGTCAGCGGCTACCCCAACTTATCCCGCTGTTGGTTGCGAACACCGTTTACACCGAGGCTGATTTTCTCAGTAAGAAGCGTTTTGGGGGATGTTTTTACTGTCTGTTCATGTGTCAATCTGCCATTTTGTGTCGCATAGATACCGTAGTTTTGCTGCACGTGGCGTTTTGGCCAAGCCACGCGACTATCCGTGGAGCCATCTGCATGCGATGCTGCAGTAGTTGCAGTAGGAGGTGCTTCTGCTGCTATTGCTTTTCCTCCTCCTTTGCATCGGGTGATGGCGTTTTAGGGGTTGTGGCAGCGTCTGCGAGAGAGAGAGAGAGAGACAACGTGTGTGCTGCTGTATTTTCTTTGCGAGAGAGACACTAGGGGTTGTGGCAGCGTTTGCGAGAGAGAGAGAGAGAGAGAGAGAGACACCGTGTGTGCTGCTGTATCTTCTTTGCGAGGGAGAAAGACAGAGACACCGTGTGTGGTGCTGTATTTTCTTTGCGAGAGAGAGAGCGACACCGTGTGTGCTGCTGTATTTTCTTTGCGAGGGAGAAAGACAGAGACACCGTGTGTGCTGCTGCATTTGTTTTGTGGTATGGCGGGGTGCCCTTCGCGCAGGCATGGATGCATCTCAGTTGGAAGAAGATAATGCAGGGATAGCAGATGAGGCACAGGATGTTGCTCCCCGCTTTCACCGCAGCCGCGAGTATGTTGGGGGGGGAGGGGCAGCAGCGCATGATGAAGAAGACGAGGAGGATGGCAGCGGTGCAAGAGGCACTTGGGGAGATGGTTGGAGTGTCAGAAAGGGAAGCGCTTTAGCTCTTGATCACGTGGCTGCGATGTTTCGAGAAGAAACCCTGCCCTTCGTTTTGCCACTTATAGAGGACGGACTGCAGCAGAATCAGCAGCAGCAGCAGCAGAATCAGCAACAGCAGCAAGGCGCTGAAGCGTGGCTAAGACAGGAAGCCTCTGTTCTTGCTCTTGGCGCTGTCGCTCAAGGCTGTCAAGAATCTTTAGCTCCTCATCTTCACAAGGTTCTCCTCTACCTGCTCGAGCTCACCACTCACCCCAAGGTAGACACCCCCAAATTCGCACGTATATGTATATGTACATATGTGTATCTTTGTGGATATGGGGGGCTTATACGTATTTATGTACATGTATTTATGTATATATCCGTATCAAGATGGGTGGAAATTTATGGGCGTACTTTTTTCTGGGAGGGGCTTTAATGGCAAGAACACAGTATCAAGACAAGGATGCACATGGCGTTTTTTCCCGGAGAAAGCATGGCAAGGATTGCTGTTTTCTTGGATTTCTTGTAAACTGGCAGCAGAATTGCTGCTCACTCTGCCCTTTTCTTGGAGGCATTGTTATCTCCGTGCATGCATGCTCTTGTTGAGGAGGAGGGAAGCCATCGGGGACGTCGGGCTGCGCATGCATTGCAGCTTCCTGATCGATTGCCTCTGGCTTTTTTTTGGAAATTTTTGTGACTTCTGCATCTGCCCATTGCGCGCAAGCATGCAGCTGTGGTCTGAATTGTTTTTCAGCCGCTGCTGCGAAGCATTTCTTGTTGGTGCATCTCCCGATACGCCTCCTGGCTATGCCAGACTGAGCACGAGCTGCAGCAAGAATCTCAGCAGCAGCAGCGGCAGCAGCAGGTAAGCCTCTTCGGCTCTGTGTTGCAGCAGCTCACTCAGCGTCTGCTCGACAGAAACAAACGGGTGCAAGAGGCTGCCTGCTCCGCATTCGCATCCATTGAAGATGAAGCAAGAGGTCTCCTCTCCCGCTTCCTCCCCGATGTAATACCTCCCTTGCAGCGTGCACTGCAGCTCTATCAGGTAGGCAAGCGAGCTCCCCCTCCCTTCTGGCGACAGATCCTAGCAGCCACTCTCCAGAGTCTTCTCCTTTCTTTTTCCCCCGTTTCTTCCGTGGGCTTGTGCGAACTCCTTTCCGCACTGCACAGCCTGAAACGCCTTGCGACTGCGGACCGAAGGGCAGACTGTGCAAGTGTATGAACCCTGCATTTGTTTTGTTTGTTTGTGCATGCCTTTTTGTACGTGTGTATGTACATGTATGTGCATGTCCATGTATGTGTATGTTTATGTACATGTAAATGTGTGTATATGTATGTATACGTATATGTAAATGCATATGTATATCTATGTAAATGTATGCATATGAATATGTATGTGCATGCATTATGTAAATGTATATCTATGTGTATGTATGTGTACATGTATCTGTATGTATCTGTATATTAATCTAAGTGTAAATGTATATGTGTGTATGTGTATATATGTATGTATGTGTATATATGTATGTATATGTATATCGATCTATATGTAAATGCTTATGTATGCATATGTGTATGTATATATATGTATATGTATGTGTTTGGCGTGCAGGCAAAGAATCTGCTCATCCTGTATGATGCTATAGGCACGCTAGCAGACGGTGTTGGACCGACACTTTGCTGTCCCCTTGGATTTGCATTATTGGAAGCTCTTTTGCAGCAATGGCGGCAGGCTCAAGCGGGGCAGCCTCAGTGCTTGGCTCTTTCTGAGTCTATCGGATGCATTGCTACTGCCATGCAAGCAGGTATGTACAGATCGGCTACCGTTGCTTTTCTGCATGCATTTTTGCAGGATGCGACGTATATTTTCTTCCGAAGGGTGCTGCTCTAATAAGGCCCTTCTGTTTTTGTTACTGCGATCGCGCAACAAGCTGCCGCTCAAGAAGTGTTTTTTTGCAGCCCTTCCCCGCGCATGTGCAAGCAGCACACTGCAACTTGCGGGAATCTGTATTTGACACTGTCTGTATGTCTGTCTGCATGTGTGTATGTCTCCTCTCTGTATGTCTGTCTGCATGTGTGTATGTCTCCTCTCTGTATGTCTGTCTGTATGTGTGTATGTCTCCTCTCTGTATGTCTGTCTGCATGTGTGTATGTCTCCTCTCTCTATGTCTGTCTGCATGTGTGTATGTCTCCTCTCTGTATGTCTGTTCCTCTGCAGCTTTCGCTCCCTACGCGCCTCTGACGTTGGATCGGTGTCAGGACCTCATTGCCGAAGTCATTCAGCAAATTGAGGCTCAAGAAAGGGGCGAGGCAGTGAGTGGCATGCGCTTTTTGTGGCCAGTTGACTGTTGTTTCTCCCTTACTCTGTGGCGAAAGTTCCTCGCTCGCATGCCCCTTCGCCTGCCTGCGGCAGCAGCTCAGGTGTCTTCCACGCGCGTGCATGCAGATAGCGTGTACAGCATGCGCGCATCCGCCCTCGCCGTTGTGGGGCTTTGGTGTGCTTGTGCCTCTGCCCTTGTGTCAGGATGCATCATTTTAACGGTCGTCATTCATCTCAATCGTTTTGCGGCGCTGTGTTGCATCCATCTTCGCGCAGAACGTATGGCCTGACAGAGAGACGCTAGAATGCAGCTTAGATTTGCTCAGTGCTGTTGCAGACAGTGTTGGACAGCAGCTGCTCCCGCTGCTGCAACAACGCCCTCAGCTGCTGTTGCTATTGGAACGCTGCTGTCGAGACAGCAGCCCTCCAGTTCTGCAATCAGCTCTCGCGTTGGTGGGAGACGTCTCCAAGCATTGCTCCAGCCTGCTCCGACTTGAAATTCTCTTTCCTCTAGTGCGTTGCAGCAGTGCCTAGTGGCGCCTTGTGTGTATATTCATATATATATCCATATATATATATACATGTATCCATACACATATATACATACACATACAACCATACACATATATACATACACATACAACCATACACATATGTACGTACACATGTATACGTACACGTTCTGCCTGTATCCCACACGGGAAGTCTGCTGATTACAGTTTGCGTCATTCTCCTGCAAAGCCCTCTCTCGGCGTTTTCGCGTGCGCTGACGTCTGTGTTGCTCGTTGGTCGCTCTGCCTGCAGCGGCAGTCG